CAGTCTAGTTATGGAGGATGTTGCTTCACGGGCTCATGTTGGTATTATCATTGCGCTGCCGGCCAGCCACACTGCAGCCTACGCTGTCGCCGGCGACTCACGGCAGCCCAGCTCCAGGTTGAGCTGTTGTTCACCATCTTAGCTGTAGAGGGCACAGCGTCACTGGCCCTCACTGGGATCTGAACCGCAGCCCTGCTGCTCAGAGCTGGCATCCCAAGGCAGCTCTTAACCAATGCACCACTCGGCCAGCCCCTCTATTTAAATTTTTTTTAAATCATTAATAAAAATGTTTTTGCTGGGGATGAGCTTATTTTCTGAGCATAAAATGGCATGTGGACCAGTTCTGTGCTCCCCACAGGGCCCCACATTCCACATGCAGACCCAGGATTGCCAGGATTGGGATCCAGAGAAGAGAACAGTCCCTAAGAAATTTCTCTGCTTCACAGAAGATTCTAAAATGGAGCATTTAAGGTGCATATTTCAGAATTTGATGGGATGGGACTTATGCCAAATCTAAACTTGATTGTGCCTTGTGTGACAACAGTGACAACCTGCACTTGCAAAGTGTTATTTTGGGTTGCCCTACTAGACAGAGGTATCAGATCTACCTAATGCGGCTACAGGCACGTCCTCAGTGTGTGACGATGCGCAAGACAAGCACGGGCCCCAACAGGAACTGCCCTCTCTGCTGAGGAATCACTTGCACTTTCCGTATTTCACAAATATAATCAACGCCCAGACTAAGGTGCCTTCAAGGGGACCCCAAGTGCCAGCCTAAGAGAGTCCACTATATATCTTAATTGGAATCTTAAATTTCAGGATCCTCTCTTTCATTTCAGAATCTGGAATCCCTTGACAGCTACATCCAGAACACACTGTCAGCACTCTACCCACCATTTGAGGCCACAGCAGCCACGGTGCTCTGGCAGGTTATCAGCGTGGCAGAACGGCTCCATGGAGGGGACGGACTACGCTGTCTCACGGACTTCCTCATCCCGGCCAAGAGGGCGCTGCAGCACCTGCAGCAGGAGGCCTGTGTGAGTACCTGCCCTCAGGGGACACCTGTGTGAGGACCTGCCCTCAGGGGACAGACCTGTGAGAGGACCTCCTCTCACGGGACAGACCTGTGTGAGGATTCCTCTCACGGGACAGACCTGTGTGAGGATTTCTCTCAGGGGACAGACCTGTGTGAGGATTTCTCTCAGGGGAAAGACCTGTGTGAGGATTTCTCTCAGGGGACTGACCCGTGTGAGGATTTCTCTCTCGGGACTGACCTGTGTGAGGACCTGCCCTCAGTGGACAGACCTGTGTGAGGATTCCTCTCAGGGGACTGACCTGTGTGAGGACCTGCCCTCAGGGACAGACCTGTTGAGGAGTTACCACGAGTTGTTTTCAAGACTGTTCACTGTGGCTGTGTTTGTAACCGCCACCATGTATGAGACATACATTTAGAAGCAGCTAAACGCCCTCTGACGGCCGCATGAATAAGAAGACGTGACCCGTGCAGCTCTTCTGTGTGACCCTCGAGGCCTCCCTTCCTGTGTGTCAGATCGTTCTCTCTCGTCTGGAGTCTATACTGGCAGTAGTGACTCATTTGACCAAAAAGTGTAGCAGAAGTGATGTGCCATGGTTTCTGAGAAAGGCCACAGAGGTGGGGTCTCACAATGCTTGATCCTGGAGCAGTCACTGTGGGGAAGCCGGCACGTCACAGGAAGTCTGACTGCCCTGAAACCCCCACATAGTGAGGCTCTGGAGAATGAGGTGCCCTGTGGAGGGGGGAGAGAGACACAGACCCAGGAGTCCGGGGTGCAGATGTGGGGTGAGCAAGCCATCTCAGAGTGGACCTTCAGCCCCACACGCCATAGCTCTCACCCGGGTCAAAATTAACCACTCAGCCAAGCCCTTCCCTGGCTCCTGACTCATAAAATCGTGAGTAAAATACAATGCTTTTTTTCAGCCACTAACTTTGGGGATAGTTAGTTATACTAATAATAGTGATAGGTCAAATTACTAGTAGCAAAGAAAATGAATAAACTACAGTGTGTGGAGTAGTACTGAATTTTAGTGTTGATTGAAAAGTCACAAAAGAATACAGATTGTAGAACTCAATTTGTATGAAGTTCAGATATATGCAAAACTAAACTATTTATTTTCTAGGGTTTCAAATGTGGTAAATATAGAGAAAAGTAAGGGACTAATAACAAAATTTGGAAACGTGTCTACCTCCAAGAGCAGGTGGGTATGCCGGTGACATCAAAGGTGATGGCACCCTCTTTTCCTTGAACAGCTGTATCACGATGCTTTGTATCTTATATAATAATACATATTATAAGCATTCTTTTTTATCTCTTAAAAGTTGCTAAGACAGGGCCGGCCCAGTGGCTCAGTTGGTTAAGAGCTCGCTCAAGAGTGCGAGCTCTGAGCAACAGCGGTTCGAGTCCCAGCCCGAGCTGAGCTGCCGCTGAGCTGCAAACAGGTGGCAGGATAGCTCAGCTAAAAAATAAAATAAAATAAAAGTAAATAATAAATAAATAAATAAATAAAAGTTATTAAGACAAAAAGTTTGAAACAATTATTGTCGAAAACAAGTTTCTCAGGAGGATGGGATATGCCTGCTTCTCCCACAAGACCAACAGAAGCACCTTGGATAGGCCAGTCTTTTGCTCTCCCTCCTTTTGGACTGAGGAGTCGGGAGCCACGTGTGGGGTGGGAGGCTGTCATTGCACTGGGGACTGATAGGAGACCGTGTGGCCAGAGCACCAAATGCCACATTGCAGGTGTGACTGGCTCCGCCCCTTGGCTAGGGCAGTTTTCTCCAGCTCAGCCTCGGAGCTTCATGTGTCTGGCCTGTTGGGTCTCTGGAGCACACCAGGGAGAGAAGTTCAACTTCTCTCCCTGGTGGCTGTTGGGCTCCTGGCAGCTGCCAGGCCAGGAGTCTCACTATGGCTGACAGTGTGGTGGGCGATGTTCTGGGTCTTCGTGTCGCTGACCACCCAGCAAGGCATTGGCACACACCTGCAGCCACGCATACCAGTGGGCTCTGGTCACCCCAATGCTCTCGAGGGGCCTCCCTTGGACATCCTGTAAGGCCTGAGAGTCCACAGAAGCACTGAAACCCAGGCAGAGCTCCAGGCCCAAAGATGTTCATGGTATTTTTATCTGTGAGCAAATTTTGGGGGAAATTCATGCCAACAGTGAGGTGACCTGTATGAAGAGTTGCCCGTTGCACAGGAAATGCTGATGAAATAATGTTAGCTGAAAAAAATCAGGAGGCACAGTTGTATTTGTGATGTGATCTCAACCACTAAAAATGCACAAAGAGTAATGAAGTGAAACACATACGTGTCAACAGTGCTGACCACTGGGGCTTGGTGTTGGGATAATTTTATTCCTTAGCTTTTTCTGGAACGTCCAGTTTCTGCAGTGCACAAGATTCCTTTTCCATTCTGAACATCTTAATTGTTACTTAAATGTGGCTGCAGATGTGAGGGCGCCTGGCGGAGGCACAGAGATGCCACTGCGTCTGCACCAGAGGCTGCGCTGGTGCTGCCTTCCTTGCAGGCCATCGTCCACAGCGTGTGCCCACCCCCCCACCCCACCCCCACCTTATGTGTAATGTGCGCATGTGCGGCAAGTTCAGTAAGTCGGCGGGAACAGCATTCATGAGACCCTTGCTCCTAAGAACACACCCATATATTTGAGGTACAAGTTTCAAAGTAAACTCCAGATATCAGAAACATTAAATATTTTTTAAACCTCAACTCTTAGGAAAACTAACATAAAATAAATATGAGAGGCAAGCTTTGGTCAGATCAAATTCTAAATTTTAAGACAATAAAAAATGTCACTGAAAAACCCAAGAAGCACAGCTTGTATAAAATGTTAACTTTTGTAGAGAGGAAAAGAACATAACTAAACTATAAAACAAGTAAACTGGGCAGAGTGCGTGCAGCAAGAGATAGGTGACAGAAATGTTTACTAACAGTAAGTGCAGAAAATTGTTAAATTAAAAAAATTTCCCTCACAGATACTAATAAAGCAAAAGTAAGACAATTCATAAAAGGAGCAAAATACATATAGACAATTTACAGAAAACAAACATCAGAAAAAAAGGTTGGCTTCACTATAACAGAAATGTGAATTAAAACAATATTCCACAGTATGCATATCAATTTAGAAAACAGTTTCATAATGTGAGGCCTTGTGTTACTGGATCATGGCACACCTGTCAGTGATACTGCTGGCAGTATGTCTCCTTGATGGAAAACCGGCCAAAGTGTCAAAATCATAGAAGACGTTCATAGTCTTTGATCTTGTAATTCTAATCCCAGAAATGTGCCCTGAAACGATAATTTAAAGGAAAAAAACTGAATCATGAAAATGTTCATTGTACTTACTGTTTATAACAGAAAAAGGTAGAAGAACTATAGATTTCTGACAATGGAGGAACATTAAGTAGCTATCAAGATGGTACCTGAGAGTAACAGAAATGTTTGCTAAGGGTGACTGCAAACAGGAATGCCAAATTATATCTATATTATTATCAGAGTTTAGAAAAGTTATGTCTTATATAGATAAGAGCAGAGAAAAATTAAAAACCTCGAGCTATATGAGGATGCGATTTTTTCTCTCATTTCCTCAGTTACTGTAATAATGTGTGTGTAATAAGTCAGTGCTGGAATGGGGAAAATAAGTTTCAAGGCGAAACTATTGGAACTAAGCTTGTACTGTAGAATGTGGTCCCACGTTAGAACATGCGGCTACAATTTCTGACTTGTTGGGGTCCTTCCTACCACTGTCCCCATGAGGACGTCGCCTGCATTTGACTGTCTCATTCACCATGAAGTCGAATCCTTTTGTAGACCAAGTTCTCTTCAAAGCATGCTTCAGAATTCTCCCCGTGCTATAGCTGGGCTGTAAATTTCACTGATGCCTTCATAAGTAGGAACCACTGGTTGCGCTAGGCGAGAGTTTACCACCAATATTGTTGCTGTCCTGCCCAGATCCCTCATCTTCTCAGTGTCCCCACCCTGTGATTCCAGAGGTGACGCTATTCCTGGGGTTGCCCATGGGTGCCTGGGTGTTCTGAGGTACAGGGGCACTCACTGACTCTCCCTGCTGGATGGAGACCAGGGGCCCTGACAGGTTCTGTGCCAGCTGTTAATGTCCCTCTCTTGTCCCAGGCTAGGTACACAGGCCTCATCTTCTTCCATGAAGGCTGGCCCCTGTGCGTCCATGAGAAGGTGGTGGTGCAGTTGGCGTCCCTCCGTGGAGTCAGGCTCAGGCCTGGAGACTTCTACCTGCAGGTCACGTCGGTGGGGAAGCAGTCGGCCAGGCTGGTCTTAAAATGCCTGTCCCGGCTGGGGCGTGGCTCAGAAGAGGTGGCTGTGCCTGAGGCCATGTACGGCTCTGTCTTCACAGCAGAGTTCCTGGACCGGGTGAACAGGGATCGCAACAGTGTCCTCTTGAAAAACTGCCTGCTCACCTCAGGCTGCGCCGTCTACCGTACCCCATGGAGCAACGTCACGGCGCCTGTGTTTATGCCCACCACCGGAAGTGTCGTGTGCCGCTCCTCCAGCCGTCCTGGGCCCGAGCAGCTGCCCAGCAGTGCCTCGGAGGCCCCGGCCCCAGCACCAGCTATGGCCAGCCCCCATCCCCAGAGGGGCACCCTGCCCCGCTGCTGTGGGCATTCCAGCAGCGAGCAGCCCAGCCACCTCCCTCACCTGAGAAGAGCCAAGTGGGAAAGCCCCAGGACCCTGCCTGGGAGCTCTGCTGTCTGCCCATGTGAGCCCCCTGAGAGCCTGAAAGAACCGGAAGAGAGGCTGGACCCTGTGGACATGGACGAGAAGGATGGCCCCCAGGCCCTCAGCTCCCACGAGGACATGAGCACAAACTCCAGAAGGTGTCCGTCCAGGGCCACAGCTGGCGTGGAGGCCAGACGCTGGTTCAGGAAGTCCTACATGGAGGCCCTGCGGAACCCCATGCCCCTGGGCTCCGGCTCCAAGGAGTCCATCACAGTTGAGGCTTGCGATGTCCAGCGCGAGGAGCCCAGAGCAGCAGCCAGCTTGACCCAGAGAGAACCCGCCAGCCCGCAGGGAGACCCCCAGGAGATCCAGAGTCAAAAGTGCTGTCCAGAAGCCACTGGGAAGACCCTTCCCAGGCGGTCTCGATCCTGGGACCCATCCCTAAGGAGCTCTCGAGGTGACGTCCGGCAGGCCACCCCCAACTCAGCCAGTGCTGGGCCGGGAGGTTTCTTAGGAGGACAAGCTGTGGACACCGGAAACTCAGGCGCTAGCCGCCCTTCTGGCTACAGCAAAGAGGAAGGTAAGTGTCTCCTCTCCCCTTCCCCACACAGCTCCCCTCCCCTCTCCTCCCTTCTCCCCGCTCCCACCCTGTCCCCTGGGCTGGTCACTTGCTGTAGTAGCAGCCTGTCTCCATCGCCGTACTGACTGTTGAAAGTAGCCTTCACATGTGTCCCATTCATGTGGCTGCTGCACAAAGGCCTGCAGACACGGCCGCTGAGAGCAGCAGAAATTCACCCTCCGCGTGAGTTCTGGAGGCCAGAGTCTGCCGGCGTAGAGCCGCGGGCTGCCGGCGTCCCTGGGCTTGTGACAGCATGCAGGCTCTTCCCCGTCTGTCTCGCTGTGCCTCCGGCCGCCCTCTGCTTGTTCTCCTAAATCCTGTCATTGGATTTAGGCCCACCTCAATTTTATTCACAGCTGCAAAGACCCTTTTCTGAATAAGGCCATGTTCACAGGGTCTGGGGCTAGGTGGATTCTTTTGGGGTAACTGTACAGCCCGCCATGTTGCATTAATACTCGTTTGTACAGGTAAATCAGATGTCATGTTCATTTTTTTTATTAGTTTCAGGTGTACAAAACAATGTAATAGTTATACATTTCACCCCTCACAAAGTGATAACCCCCTCTCCCAATCTTTTGCTCCTCTGACATCATCTATAGCTATTACAGTTCTGTTGACTCTATTCCCTATACTATCCTCCATATCCCGTGACTATATATATATATTAAATTATAGTTGACATACAATATTATTCAGTTTCAGCTTCAGGTGTGCAGTGCAGTGGTCAAGCCTCTACCCCATCCATGAAGTGGTCTCCCTAACAAGACATGTGACCATCTGACACCCTATAGAATATTTACAACATTAATTGTATTCCCCAAACTGTCTTTCATGTCCCTGTGGCAATATTGTAGTGACCTGTTTATGCTGTCTAACCCCTTCCCCTTCTCCCTCATCCCCACCCCCTCCCAACTAGCAACCATCAGTTTTTCCTCTGTGTCTCTGAGACTATTTCTGTTTACTTTGCTCATTTATTCAGTTCTTTAGATTCCACATATAAGTAAGATCATATGGTATCTGTCTTTCTCAGAATGACTTATTTCACTTAACATAAATGTTCTCTAGGTCCATCCATATCGTTGCAAATAGTAAGATTTCATTCTTTTTTATAGCTGAGTAATACTCCATTGTATAAATATAACACAATTTCTTAATCCAGTCGTCTAATGATAGGAATTTCGGTTGTTTCCAAGTCTTGGCTATTGTGAATAGCGCTGCAATAAACATAGTGGTGCATATATTTTTTTGAATTAGCATCTTGGGTTTCTCTGGATAGATACCCAAGAGTGGAATTGCTGGGTCATACGGTAATTCCATTTCCAGTTTGTTGAGATACCTCCATACTGATTTCCATAGTGGCCACACCAATCTGCAGTCCCACCAACAGTGCACCAGGGTTCCCTTTTCTCCACAGCCCCGCCAGCACTTGTTGTCTGTTGATTTATTGATGATAGCCATTCTGACCGGAGTGAAGTGGGATCTCATTGTGGTTTTTATTTGCATTTCTCTAATGATTAGTGAGGTTGAGCATTTTTTCATTTTTTCAGATGTCTGTTGGCCATCTGTTTGTCCTCTTTAGAGAAATGTCTCTTCATATCCTCTGCCCATTTTTTAATTGGGTTGTTTGTTTTTTGGTGTTGAGTTGAATGAGTGTTTTACAAACTTTGGATATTAACCCCTTATCAGATATATCATTGACAAATACCTTCTCCCATTCAGTGGGCTGCCTTTTTCTTTTTGATGGTTTCCTTTGCTGTGAAAAAACTTCTAAGTTTGATGTAGTCCCAATCATGTTCATTTTTAAATAACTCCGGTTGGTGACTTTCTGCCCCTTGGTCACACATACACCTCGGAGGCCATCTGTAAGCCCCTGAGCGTTTGTTCCCTGAGTATTTTTCCGAGTGGCTCTGAAGGAAACTGATTATCGGGATGAGTGTTTGTAGGACATAAAGAAGTAAAAGGAAAGAATGACACCAGATTTTTTAAGTCAAATGTTTCGCCTCTTTCCCTTTTTTCCTGAATAAAGAAATGTTCTGTGAAGAACAAAAACAGCCACTGGGAAGAAGTGAAAAGTGTGAAAGTGCCGTGGGCCTGAGGAAGCAGGTGTGGTCCGAGCAGTGGGGTGCAGGGTGAGGGGTTCCAGGTGAGCGCTCGCCTGTGGGACACCACGCCTGCCCCTTCCCCGCAACAAGGAGCTCCAGCCGCTGCGCATGAAGGCTGTTGGGGACCCACAGTCCTCATCTGTGCGTGGGCCTCTCTGGACACAGCCGTCTGCTCCTGCTTGAGGGTCACACAGACACGCGGCACTTGCCACAAAGAGTCTGATGATGTAATTACCCGCTTAGGGTGACACTTTAGAAAACATTCTGTTGCCTTTCCGCAACTCCATTAAAATTAACATAAAGCAGTAAACTCCCTGAGCACTGTTTCCAGGGCCTAAACTGCCCTTGATGTCCATTTCCTTTCCTGTTTCTATTAGGCAGAAAACACACACACTGGATGACACGACGAAAACTCAGCTAGTCTACGCTATGAGACAGAGCTTATGTCTTCACCCCTAATTGTCAATATGAAATAGAATTGAGCAGATTTCTCCCCACAGAGAAATGCTGGCTGTGTAAATGCTTTGGAGGACATTTGGGCACAATGTCACAGTGTAGCACAGAGTTGCAGACGGTTGATGACAGCCAGACGTAGATGCCAGTCATGAAGGCGGCAGGTTTCATTTCAACAACGCAACACTGCCAAGTGGAAACGGGACCAGCCGACTCCGAGTGTGTACAGAAGCACGTGTAAGAAGATTCGAGGTCTCTTCATCACAGACGTGTGTTGTCAGTCGTCCTTCCTCTCAGCCCCAGTGGGCTGTGTGTGCTCAGTGTCAGCTTACATGAGAGAGAACACTGACGGTGTTGGGAGTCCTGAGGTTGGAGGCCTTAAAATCCTGGGGTGCCCCCTTCCCTGTACTTCCCCCCTCGCTGACTGCACAGAACCTGCCTGTGTGGTGTCTAAGTCAGCAGGAAGGTGGTGGCTTCTCCCCGTGAGGAGGTGGGCAGTGGAACCAGAGGTCTGGACGAAGTGCCAGGACCACAGTCACCCAGGCGGTAACCAGCGGGTCATCGAGACAGGCATTCCCCTCCCCTTCCTGCTGCCTGGCACCCACACCTGTCCCTGGTGTTGACAGTCTGTGCTGTGGTCCCAGACCCATGTTCCATTAACACAAGAAACTGCCTCAGCTGGAACCCCCTGCTGACACCCATGATGAAAAAGTAACATTTAATACACTCTTCTGTAGGGACAGGCACAGGTCGCTCCCCTTCTGCTCTAGGTCTCGCCTCCTGTGTTCCAGGTCACTCCTCCTTTGCTCCAGCATGTTCCATCTCCTGAGACTTTGTTTTGTCTCCTGTGTAAACAGAAAATTAACATAATTTCAAAACTATGCAGCATTTCAGAATTTATTTTAAGAATATCATACTCAGATCTTTTATTCAACCAGTGGTAACTGAGCAGCTGTCATCCGCAGCCACACTTGGGTATGGCTTTGATTCCTAGTCATTTTAACATTGTAGCCCTACCTCGGACCCCGCCTCGCTGTCTCATGGTGTAGGGTGAATCCTGGAAAACCCCCATAAAGGACCGACTCAACCAGGAAGACATCTAATGAGACAGGTCCTACGTGGGTGGGATGTCTGCTCCCCCGTCTATGTTGGGATGCTTGGGGTTCACTGCAGAACTGGTTTTACCAGTGGCTGATGACGTGTTCTACAAGATGTATGAACATACGTGAAGAAATCAAGGTCACTGTGCAATTGGAGCCCATCCGTTGGTGGAAGGATAGACAAAATGTGGTATGTCACACGATGAAATGAGACCCAGCATGGAAGAGAATGAGGCTTTGACACAGGTGACATCAAACACAGTTCTGCTGAGTGTAAGAAGCCAGACGGAAGACCACGTGGTGTTTTTTCCATTTATGTGAAAGGTCCAGAAGAGGTGGATTCAGAGACGGGGGACACAGGCGGTTGCCTTGGACTGGGGTGGAGGTGCAGGTTTACTATACATGGGCATGGGAGGTCTTTTTGGGGGGTCAAAAATGTTCTAAAACTGATTCGTGGTGATGGTTGCACCACTTGGTAACATTGCTAAAAGCCTCTGAATTGTGCACTTGAAATGGGTGAGTTGTACAATATGTAAAATATACCTCAATAAAACTTTTTTTTATTTAAAAAATGTGGTGGACTTCTTAAGCCCAGCTAGCGTGAGACTGACATTCACAGAGTTGTAAGACGTTAGCACTGAAAGACGTTAGGGGCAAGGCTTAGGGACACGGCGCCCCACAGGGCTCAGGTTCCAGCGCTCGCCGGCCACCTCTGACTGAGCCTGCTCCTCACCCATGGGGGTGACACGTGGCTGGGCCATGTGTGGCTGGGCGTTGGGGACATCTGCTCATCTGTGAAGTGCTGTCGGGGAGAGGTGCCGGAGACAATGCCTCCATCGGTGTCTCTTCCAGGGTGATGCACAAGTGTGAGCCCCCTCTGGGATGAGGCAGGAGGGCGAGTCCTCCACAACTCCCACTATGCTGACGCCTGCCCCTGGGGTGCTCTCACCACCTGTGGACATATGTGTATGACACTTGGGGAGATCTGTGTCACTGAACAAATGAGGACGCCATTTGTCAGTGTAAACACATCTCCCTGAGGTCTTCAGCCAGTGAGTGCCCCTGCAGCATCTGAAATATTTAACTTTGCAGGTGTGTTATGCTCTAGCTCTCAGGAACTCACCTGTCCTGGAAGGTGTGGCACGCCTCATTTCCTAAAATGGGACGTGTTGTCATGGAAACACACTGTTCTCCCGCTTTTCTCCCTGTTTATAGCTAGCTGTGCAGCTGCCTTCAGGCGAGAGCTGCATTCCTCTCTGACCAGCTCTCTCTGTTGTCCAGCCAGCAATAAGGCGGATGCCTGCAGGTTCCCAGCCGCGCTCACTGAGCTGCTGTGCCCTGAGGAGGAAGGATGGCCATCTAGCACAGACCTGCCCAGCCAGGTGCCCAGGCCGCCGCTGGAGGTGAATCAGGAGCTGCTGCAGTCTGGGGCCGTCACCCTCCCAGGTGAGCGTGACCACCTGGCTTTGTCCAGGCAGCTATAGCTAAACACCCCGGACCGGGGGTTAGAAACAACAGAAATGTATTTCATACTGTTCTGCAGGCGGGACATCCCAGATCAGGGAGCCAACATTGCCAGGCTCTGGTGCCGGCCGGCCTCTTCCTGGCTCAGAGTCAGCACCTTTCACTGTGTCCTCACCTGGTGGAAGGGGCAAGGCAGCTTCGTTGGGGTCTCATAAGGTCACTAGTCCCATTAACAAGGGCTGCACCCTCATGACCTAAGCACCTCCCAAAGGCCCCACTTCCTAAAACCATCAAATCAGGCATTAGTATTTCAACATGTGAATTTGGGGGAACACAAACATTCAGACCATAACAATGGCCATCACCCTCCCAGTCGAGCACAGCTGTCACCTGCCCAGGTGAGTGCCAGGTTTACCTCGCACGGTAGGTATCACATGTAAGCCAATAACTCAACAGTTTGCAGACCCTAGCTCAGTATTTCTCAGGCTTGAAGGCTCGTGTGCCCACGGGGGCTGCCTCCTTTCATGATGCCCTCTGTATCTGCAGGGACCCGAGACCGCCAGGGGAGAGCAGTGGTGCAGGTCTGCACAAGGGGCCCACTCTGGTCCAGTCAACACGTGTCCAGTGCCGAGCTGACCTGCCTGCTGAAGTACCTCCATGGCATCCCCAGGTGGGGCTGAGCCGGTTTCCCACCTTTCAGACCCCTTTGGGGAGAAACTCAAGTGAGCCTGTCTTCAGGCAAGGGTTCCGTATGTGGCCCCTGGGACCCTGGTGGTGTGGGCAGCACACTCTCGCTGCGGGCTCCTGCTGTCTGGCCCCTCGCTGCCCCCACCCCCACCACTCCCCACACACACCCTGCTGACCCTGACCTCTCCCCTCAGCCACACTGGAGGCCTGAACTCTGCATTCTGTGTTGTTCAGTGCTGGCCCCGAGCCTTCTTTATTTACATGCTTCTGCTCCACCTCTTTCTAAAAAGTGTCTACGAAGAAACATCCAGCCTAAGAGAAAGCTTGTAAGAGTTTATTTGAGCCAAAATGACGACAATTGCTAGGAAGCAAAATCTCAAAGGATTGAGAAAATGCTCCGCAGAATGGCGGTTTGCAGCTTATTTTATAGGTAGAATCAAAGGAGGAGGGTTACATGAAATCCGTTGGTGGTAGATTAAGGGGGTGGGAGAAAGCAAAGCGGGGAAGTCTCTGGGATTGGATAAAAGTAACTGGAGAGACAGGTGCTTCCTTTACATAGGTGGGTGCAGGATAATTTGCAGTTCACTTTATTCAGCACATAGAGATGGTGCTCAGGAGACAAGAATAACAGTGGGGGTTCTGTAGTTTCCTGCTGTTGTGTAGTGGGCTGTGCCCGGGCGGGGGTGGGGAGGTCTGGGAAAAGGGATGACTCTGACATTCAGTGGGCATGTTATCTTAGATACAAAAAGACAATAGACAGGCTCACTTAAGGTAGAGACGGACCTTTGTCCAGGAAGCTACAGGCCAAGGATGTGACTTCCCGCCATGGCCCACCTTAGTTAGGAATTTTTATGGTCACACCATCTTATGTGGTTACTTTCTGTCTCCTGAGCGAGTCAGGTTTCACTTGGGGCCCCTTTTCCGACCACAAAAGTATTTGAAGTGGCCTTGGATAAAGGCATGAACTGATACGAAGATGGTATTTAGAACAAGCAGGTGAAGAGATCACTTGGACGAGGGGTGCATGGTACCAGGAAGCAGGAAAGACCTCCTTGCGCGGCCTGGGCCTTCCGTTCAGGGGGACAATGCCATGTGCCAGAGAGGAAGCACGCCAGCCCCCCAAGGGAGGAACATATTCCTGACACAGAATTCTCGGAGGACCAGGCCTCCTGGGTCCTGCGTGACAACAGTGTGGAGCAGGTCTGCTCAGGGGACCTTCTCCAGGGCTATGGTTTCGGGTCTTTCCAGGGACCAAACAGAGAGGACAGCCAGAGTCCAGGATGGTTAACAGTGAGTTATTTAGGCCCCGAGATGACACTGGACCCAGACAGGCTTTGGACGGTCCTCCCGGCCCCCAGGGCTCAGCCCTAAGGCCTTGGTCTGGCTCCGAGCCCCAGTGCTGCCCCTACTGGCTGGGCTCACGGTGCAGCTCGGCGAGCCTGTTTCCTCCCCGTCCAGCTGGATGGGAGCCGCTGTCAGGCGTGTTAGAGGGATTAGAATCAGCTCTGTAAATACCGGGGTTCAAGTCCACTTCGCATCCTGGCAGCAGCAAGCAGCGCGGTGTTCTCCGTTTTGTACCGAGATGCCTGTGAGCAGAGGCTGAGGGTACCTACGGGGTTGGCAGGCCCGGGACTGGCGCCTGGGTGTTCAGCCCTCTGCTGCTTCCGCTTTGTCACAGCGAAGTCTTCCCACCAGAGCCGGCGTCTGCTCAACTCAGGACACTCTGGGTGGAAAGCGCTCTTGAAGTCCTGAGCCTCACGGTTTGGTTGGTCATTTCCCCACAAGCGTGATTCTGTTAGCGTCTGGTAGTTGCACCTTGAGAAGCCCACGCCCACCACCTTCATGGAGGTGACACTCACCTTCAGCTCTCGGGATGAGGTGCCTGAGGTGTCAGCTCCAGGAAGAGCGTCCAGCAGCCTGATGTCAGTGGATACGAGGAACCACGTGTGGTGGGGTTCCTTGTAGATGGACCACCATCACACCGTTAGATCACACAGAACCTCAACATCAGAAGGGATGTCGGCTGTCATCCATGCAGCCTCCTGTGCGGCCACCAACCCACCCACCCATCTCGTACTTACCTGGGAACAGAAGAGAACAGGACACGGTTCTGGCCATTGGGGAGACCCACATGTGACCCCACGTACTGCAGCTCCCAGCGCGAGACGGTCTACAGTGCTGGGAAGGAGCTGTGTCCTTGGCCCGCCAGGGGGACGCCCCAGAGGGGCGGGTGTAAGGAGCCGCGCACACGGCCCAGGGCAGGTGGTCACTCTCTGAGCTGGAGGCGGCACTGACAGGCGGGAGAGTGAGGACGGGGGATGCCGAAGGGAGAAGGCCCCCTGGGCCAGAAGACCACGCTGACCTCAGCGTGCCGCGGACGGACAGGCTAGAGTGGTGGTCGGCCACAGTGTGAGCCTTCGGCAGGTCCCCTTGCCTGGAGGTGTGGTTGGACTCCACCGGTCTGTCACGCTGAGGCCTGACGGCCTGCCTCCAGCTGGTGTGCAGCTGGGTTCCAGCGGATAGGGTAGTTGGGGAGCGGGAGGTGATGTGTATAAAGTCAAGACCCCCGAGCTCTAGAGCCAGGAGGATGTGGTGAGGGCATCTCGGAGATGTGGG